AAAAAAAAAAAAGTTTCTTTTTTTTTTTCCTATCCAGAGATATCTCCACCGAGCCCAAGACATCATCTGGCCCATCTAAGAAGACCGACCAGCGGTCGGGATAATAGGTTCATAAGGGTCAAGCCAACATGTCAGCTTTCCACTTCCAGACGGTGAGACTAATCCTCTGGAGAAAATAGGGAGCCCAACCCTATTTCCACGATAGTCATGATCGAACCCCTAACCTCCGGCTTCACAGGGAGTTTCACCCTCCCCCTTCGACCAGTTGTCCTTACGCACCCTAGCAGTTTTACCTAATCTATATCTTGTAAAACTTTCACGATTATATTATTTATATTATATATATAAAGAATCAATTGAAAAGAAAATAATTACAATATTATATATAAAAATTGAATCAATTAAAAAAAATATAGTAAGTGATTAAGTTTCGTGTAATTCGACTATAGAAAATACGGTTTAACAAATTTAATGTAAATCTTCTCAATTTTTTTTAGAACACTAGTGCGTATCTCGTGCGATGCACGAGTATATAAATTTACAGAATACTATAATTTGACATGCATTAGATATATGAGAGTTTAATACATACGAACATTATTCATCATAAAATGTTCGTCACGAAAAATTTTTATATTATTAAAAACTTTTTTGTACACAACATTATGCGTTTGATTATTGGATAACTCGTTGTGAGGAGCACACGGACCGACTCGGGACGGACGCAGGTTGCACAAAGGGTTACGAAAATTGAGCCTCACTCAACTGGGCTCCCTTGCTGGGCTTCTCTCCTGGGCTGCGGATGCTGATTATTGTCGTCAAAAAAATTGCCCCCGCGCTTGGACCACTTTTCTAATTTTCAACTGTATTATAAATTATATTTTATTCCTATTTTAACTCTTTAATTCCTATTCTATGTAGATAGTTATTTTACATACTCAGTTATACTAACAAAGTATATTTTTAGTTTGAACCATATCTTCCTTAATAGTGAGTTGAATAATTTATAGATTGAAACATAATTTAATGATTTCCTCTAATTTCTCTCCCCTCTCCCCTTCTCATATTCCATATTTCACAATTTTCTCCAAATAAAACAAAAAATTGCATACAACAATTATTAAATCAAAATAAGACTGCAAATAAACGTAAACTTTTTCTTGATAATTTTTATATTTTTTTGAAATATTAATTGCAATGTTTCAGGTTCGACACAAAATTGGTTTGTTTTTTTTTATATGTTTATGAATAGGCTATCTATCTTAATTTTTGTTCAAAGTTATCCTTGATATGTTTTTTTATTTATAATATTATCTATCGTTTCCGAAAAAAAATCCTTGATATGTGTTTTAGAGATATAAAAGATGACTTTTTCTGCAGTAACTAACCACCAAACTTAAATGATTTTTTGTTACAACTACTAACATTTTTTTGTTTGTTCGATTTTCTATTGAAATTTGTGAGCTGATATTAAATAACAATTTTTAGTTAATAACTTGACTACTTCTCATCATTAAGATCCACTACTTTTAAATATTGTGTGACAATAATGATGATTTTTGTAAAATGTGAAAAATGTGAAAAATGTGCATAGGATTGCATAGATTCAATAAAATCAAGACAGATGCGATAATATATGATAAATTCGATAGTTACGTTAAACAGTTTAGTATAGGATATTAACCATATTTATCTAGATTTCAAATTTTAAGGAAAGTATTATTACTGGTCGACTTTCTATTAAATAAAAAACATAACAAATATATTTTAGGGCAACATTTTGAGTTTCTAAAAAATAATAAATAAAAGTTACTATAAATGGCATGTAATAAATACTAATGGAGTTTGACTAAGATTTGACTTACTATTTTTAAAAAATGGTAAATCTTTTTATATATAGATTAGAAATCAAATTTGTATAAAATTAAATATCTACGCAACATAATATGCCAGAGTTCACCTTAAAAAAATATTGACTACATATATATTTGAATTCCAGAGTGGATTTGTTTCCAAACAGTTTGCCAACAAATTAGGGAATATCTGTTGATTAAACAAATTGGCGATTGATCGTGTTATTAAATTCTTGACCATAAATGATTTGAAAATTTCAAAACATTACAACTAACTAGTAGATATTCTGTGCACATGCACAGATGTACATAAAATATTAGTAAGTAATATTTGACTATGCTATTAAAACAATTTACTAATTGTTTTTAATAAATTTTTTTCATGAGATACAAAAGAAAAACATAATATTGATGTTAAAATACATAACTTGAAACAATTGTTTATAATTATGTAATTTAAATTTATTATGAATTATTATTAGTTGGTATTAGCAATAACTATTATATAATATAATAGAAACATACATGATTAAACTCATTAAAATGTATTAATGTGAGAAGTAAAAAATATTAATGACAAATTTTGTAACCGAAAATGGAGGGAAAATTTTAGAGGTTTTATAAAATGTTTTATTAAATGCTACATGCCAGCAATTATATATATATAGATGCAAAATTTGAATTTTGAACTGATTTTTCATAAGTGGTAAATCAGAGATTTTGACCAATGTTTTTAACTTTCTACAAATGATTTTTCCATCAATCTCTTTCAATGTATATAGATTTAAGTGTACTATATATATGGATGAGTTCACATGAGAAAAAGAAAAAGTAGTGGGGCGTGAGCACGAAATACCACTGTGCTCCATAGAAAACCCAGACTAAAGTAAAACAACAATAATAAACCCAGACGAAGTACCAATGTGCTGCACACGAAATATATATATATATATAT